AAAAAAAAAGGAAAGAATGGGGCACGAGAGACGTCTAATACGGCAGTGTAAGTTGCGTCGTTGGCAGCAGAATGGTGAAGAGCAGAGGGGGTTAGGAGCTTGCATCGTTGCAGCGTTGCAGTTGTTCGCCATTGCTAGGGAGTTAACTTGGATACTAGGCTAGGCGAGGATCTCGGTGCTTGCCGTGCGGCCCCCCTCCCCCTTGCATCGTGGAAAAAACTATTTAGTGATTTCGTGTTACGATTTTGGGTATTTTGAGATCCGGGCGATTTCGAATCGGCCTTCGTTCCGAAGGAATGGAGAAGAAGTGGCAACCAACGATGATCACGACCAGCGAGACGGTCTTGCATGCCAATCTTCTAACGACTACGGGCCAGCGTCTTACTCCAACAGGCAAAATCAGCCATGCCAAGACGCGTGTCTACACGCAACGATATCGCAAAGAATGGGAGCAAATGCCCGATTTTAAAGGTACATCCCGCTTATTATTTCGTCGCTAATTTTAAAATAGCTCGCTGTCCGGCGAGACAAGCGCGGCGTTTCATCAACATTGTAACGTGCTGTACTGTAACTGTGCCACGCTGGATATCTGCATATGTATGCATATAATAGTTCTAACATCGTAGCTCTGCCGCCTCGTCGCTTCGTTATGGTCTTAAGCAACGACGCTTTCTCATTAAAGGCGGGAGCAAATTATTTTTAAAGGGAATTATCACCATGTAGTTTGCCGTTTTTTTTCATCAGTGTTTGTCATTCTTCAGCTCGACGCAGGGACTGTTTCCCTTGTATCTTGTTCTTTTTCTCATGAAAGAACATCTACAGTTGCTCGCAACTACCGTGTATCACATTAATAATTTTCGTACCAGTTAAACATAACTGCAACATGACTTATTGTATGTACACACATATCCTAGTTTGATCAATTAAATTTAACCGTACTTAAACAATTCTCGGCTTAAACAATACTCAACATTTTTTTTTTTCATTACAAAAATGAGAAAATCCAGTGTATTGTATTAGTATACACAATGTGACTATATAGTCCATTCAACGACTCGAGTCAATCGAGATAAATAAAACCACGTGATCAAATTCTAGGGGAAAAAGGGTCAGTGTACAATTTCAAGATATCACGAAATGGAAAATCATTTTTGCGAGCATTAACCTATCAAAGCTTTTTTATACCCGTTTTAATGCATCGGAAACTGTCACGCTCTCTTTAAGCTTTACATCTCTCCTCTAAAAGATTTTTCACAAATAAATATTCTTTCAATTTGTCTCTTTCATTTCTTCTTGATCTTTCTTGAAATATTTCTTCCTCGAATTCCTTTTTTGATTCACTTGCGTTTTCTAGTTGGCAATATCTGAACATTTATTTTAAATGTGCGCCTTGTACAAAACGTCATTGGTACAAATTGAACGCACGGAAATTGAAATTATGATTCGAAATGTTTCTTATAATAATATGAGCTATTCATAATTTACTAAGAGTTACTAGCCAATAATTGAACAACTGTTTTCTGTATCAATGAATCAATCTGTATACATGAATTGTTTATTTCAGTTGTTGAGTTATTTCACTAATTAGAAAAAGCAGACGAATATTATAGTATTTGTAAGAGAGAAACCTAGGGAGTAACCGTATCGAGAAAGTTGTAAACAATTGTATCTGTCTCTTCTGAAAAGTATATATTATATATTATGCAGTATATGTAATGAAAGCATTGTTTATTTTATAAGGTTTCTAGATCGATCTATCGAATAAAAATTACGAAAAGAAATTAAATGAAGAAACACTTTCAGGAGAAAAAATCTCGCCAGTAAATTTTTGAGAAACTAGAAGATTTTAAATAGGAATTAAGTAAAATAGTGAGTGACTTTTTCTTCTGAAATTAAATGTCAGTAAATGACATCTCTACATCATTTAATTTATTTATACTACTAAGGATATGAAACTGAAATGTACGTATGCATATGCGAAGAGGACTTTTAAGAGGTTAACGTTCAGAAAAGTAGTTCTCTATTTTATAATATTTTGAGATGTTGTAAATATGATGAAATCTCTGTTTCCCTTTGATTTGATCATGTAGTTATTGTTGATTGACTCGATTCATCGAACGGACCATATAAAAGTTACTAGTAACAGTTTCATTAACAATAAGTCAATATAAATGATGTCACCATACAGTTGAAACATGTTCTAACGAAAATGATTATATATTTTGTAGTTAGTAACGCGCTTGAGATAACAAATAAAGAAATATGTATATTTTTTGTTGTAGGGTGGTTAACGTCCGTGCCATTTCAACCGACACGTGCTTACTGTATGTACTGTAAGAAAAATCTTCATGCGCATCGACTCTCTTTGTTAAAACACACTTGCACGATGAAACATCAACGCGCAGCTTTACTACACGAAGCTGAAGAGAAGAAGAAAGCTGCTGCTCGAAAGGGAAACATAGAGGAGAAGGTCGAAGTGGAAGAGGTTGAGGAAATTGAGGTTCAAAATCTTTCTTTATCTTTTAATTTCTAACTTCACATTGCTCGAGTCAATTTTTCAAGATTAAATTAGAATTGTATTCACTGTGGTAATGAACAACATTGAGATGAAATTGGTTAAAACGTTTTCTTGCCTTTTTTTTTTTACCAGACTATGGAACATATTCAAACTGAGGTAGAAGAAAATGAAGACGAAGTGGAATATGTTGTCGAGAGATTAGAAACAGACGATGAACTAGATGAAACTCAAATCAAAGATCCAAGTGAGGATGTTAGTGGTGAGGTTGAAGATGAAGAAGAAGAAGAGGAAGATGATGTAGGACACATGCAAATGCCTTCCGATGATGACGAGGTTAAGGATTCGATAAAAAGCATTAAGATAGAAAGGGTTGTGAGTTACTCTCTTGTTTGTATGATGAACATTTTATAAATTCAGTTTGAGAATTGCAATTCAATTGAATTAATTCAGGGAAATTGTGACGATTCTTTAACTGAGGCAATGGATCACATGGAGAGTGAATATCTGGAAGAAACAGATAACCACGAAGCTGTACAAATGGAAATAGTTGTGGAGTCAGAAGATCAAAGTAATCCAGAAATGCAAGTTGTATCGATACTTCCTGATATAGAAGATTCTAATAAAGATTCGCCGAGAGAATCACGCGAGAATGGAAGAGCGATTCGGCGGGGTGATAGTAAATTAGACAGAAAATCTGCAAAATTATTGGTAGGTATTATACATGATAATATAAATATATATAATAAATGATATTCTAAAGATAAGATATAGATAAATGATATTTTAGCAAGACGAGTGCAAACAAGGAGATTCGGGAATAGTGGTGGCATGTCCATTGCCTATTTTAGGTACAACTTATCAAATTAATTCTTCAGTCGCACCTGCTACTACTAATACTATCGGTGTGCTTCAACCAGTGAATACAATTCCCATTGCACCTACACAAAGTAAAACAATTACTTTGACGTCGGGTGGTAAAACTCTGACTTTAACAGGTGGTACATTTCAACCTGGTACTCAGTACGTACTGAGTAAATTAAAGGGTCAATTTCCAACGGTGGTAATGGCTGATAAGAAAACTGCAGTTGCTAATCAAATGGAGGACACCACGAAAGGCGTTCAAATGAACAAAGATCAGTTGGCTGTAGCAAGTACTAGTTACCAAAGTCCGAAGAAAGTACGTCGACGTTCTAAACAAACGTAGTAATTTCCTTTCTTTTTTGCGTTTTTTGATTTCTAAATATCGTGTCTTTCTTTTTAGCATGTACTTTTAAAAACTGTTCAGAATCTTCCGGTTAAGAAACCTCGTATTTCTACTCACGTTGTGGACACTAGTAAAGGTTTACCAATTGGAGGTTTGCAAGTTAGCCTTTATAAGTTAATGGACGGGAGATGGACGTTTTTAAATGAAAGGTACAAAATACCTCAAATCGAATATTTCTTATATTTATTTTCTCAAAGTCTACTGTTTCTACAATAAAATCGATGTCTTTTTATTCCAGTAATACGAGCCCGAACGGTCGATGTGTGGATTTGGTGGATAATACGAAAGTTAATTTCACAGCTGGACGTTACAAGATACATTTCGATGTTGATAAGTACTTCACGCTAAGAAGGATAGAAACAATGTATCCATTTATCGAGATCGTTTTTGATGTGAAAAACCCTGCTGGCCACTATCACATACCAGTGCTTCTAAGTCCGTTTGGTTACACCACCTATCGTGGCTCCGAAAGATGAACGTTAATAAAATCAGTGTGTTTATTAAATATCTTGTTTCTTTGTAAGGCAAATTTCGTAAAAATAAATATTTTTTACGATTCGAAAATGCAGACAAAGACACACATTTTCAACGATGTCGGTTGATCGTGCAAAGGAAAAACTAGCTGTATTTTCATATTTGACGATTTTGAAAACTGAAAAGATTTTATGTAAATAGTTGTTAATTGCGCGCGAGTTTGCTATGGAGTGAGAGTGTTACGAAAAAGTGAATTTGGTGGTTCAATCACTGGTAGAATTGTTAAATTGTAACAAGAGCATCCGTGTGAGGGAAAATATATTTTATTTCTTAGTTTATAAAACTTTGACATGTTTCATTTTGTTACTACGTACTTTTCTCCAATGGCAAGTCGAGTTCGAGTCTACGAAACTGTGTTAGAAACATCTGCGCCCAGTGACACGTGAGAACATGCAACAACGATGACGCAATAGAATTTTCATATATTGAAGAATCAGGAAGAACGTACCGTTTCGATTACACGATCAACGAGAAATATTTTTGCCGAGATATCGGGACATGTTGTCAAAGGTCTGCAAAAGTCGGAAGAAGTCGCAATGGTTTTCTATTGCGGTGGTAAATAGCTTCTGTCGACATCTTTCGGTGGCAGATAGTCAGATTTGGAAGATTGTGCCTTTGACTTTTGATCGTTTCGACTATCGCCACCACGTCCGCCTTGATTTCCCGATCCGGGTGCTTGGCCGGAAGAAGACGACAACTTACCGGTACCGAATTTAAAGCTGGCTCTATTTCCGTTCTCGTCAGCCTCGTACCTTCAAACGCAAGAGTAAATATCGAGAAGAAAACAACAACAGGAAACACTAAAGAAGAAAACGAAAAGATTGTTGCTCACTTGACGGAGATGGGAAGGCCTTCGGGGCTTTTGTAAGAGAAGCTTCCTTTTACAGTTCGTACCAGCTCACCGTCCACCAATTTCAACATTTCCGTTTCTTCTTTTTGCACGTCGTCCACTGGCGCATTCGCCGCCGGTGCATTCGCGCTCGATATTGGACGGTTCCTCGCTTTGTTGTCCTCGAATGGTGTGTTCAAGGCGAGGCCACCGGAACCACGAGCGAACGCTGGTGCCTTTTGGTCCGGTGATAACTTCTCACCGGTGCAGTGCCACGTATCGAGAATCACTAGCCAGAGAATCTGAGATCAGAGAGGATAAACAGGGTAAAATGTCTCGCGAGCCATTATGCGAATCATCATCACACAGTGAAACATTGATATTTCTTTTCAGATGAATGAATTCTCTTGCATCGGAATATTTGGCCATGTTTCTCTTCCATACGTAACGAATCATAGCCGCTTGGCCTAGAGGTGAATCCGACTTTCGTATCGAGCGGCTCGCGATGACCTCCTGACCGATGAGAAAAGTGTGGTAAAAGTGTTCTTGCGACTCTCGAGCACGCGTTACGTCGATTACGTGTGCAATCAACGGTGGCTAAGAGAGAGAGAAACACTTTCTACTCGATCAATTCGATGTAACCTTTACTAATTAAATTCACTCGATCCGAGAAGAAAAGAGAGAGAGAGGAAAAAAAATGAAAATCCTAAACGACGCCTAA